TTGTTTTCACATTTAATTTCCCCTAACATGCATTTCATATGATATTTCCCTTAATAAAAGAACCCCTTTCTTCAGTGCAACGGTCTGTAACACATGCATTTTGAATATAATGTTGAGTTGAAAAGCAAGCTTTGCAGGAGTACACAGTTCCAAGAATCATTGTGATCCAGTCATTGTCATCCAGGAAGGGAGTCTGTGGTCAGCTCACTCACAAGGAGGACCAAATGCAACTTTCCCCAATTCCTAGTCAACACGTTCCAGAGAATCCTTTCTCAGGAGCAGCACAAACAAGGGACAGTGGCCTGAACTTGCTACCAAGCAGATGAGCACATCCAGAATTCTAGCTGGTTGCAAAGAAAAATCTAATCAAAATCAAACCAAACACCCAGGCAAGGAGGAAGGGAAGGGTTGCAATTGCAGTCTAGACATGCCTCTTCAAAAGATAGACCCTTTCGACCAGTGAGCTAGAAGAAATGCGGCAACGGCTGCTAGGCTTAAGTGAGGCTAGGAGAGAAATACCTGTGCAACAGAGGAGCTCTCCGTTTGAGCGCCATACTGACCACATTCACATGGGGCGTAGGTTGTACAGGAAGATCTCAAACTGCAGTTCTGCCCCACTGAAGGAAAGTAATCTTTCTGCCAGGCACTCTCCATGCAAGCTGAGGAATGGATCCCTTTGATCTCAATGTGGCCTGATTCAGACTTTGTTCCCACGCCAAGTCAGCAGGTGGAAGTATGGTGCATCCAGGCCACTGGGCCAATTCCTTTGCCACCTGTGGATTCAGCATGATGCCTGCCAAGGTGTGTGTTTTTACACACATCTCAGTGGGGTGTACCCCGTAGAAGTCTGGCTTAAATCCCAATAATTTTAATGGGGTTACTCCAAGTGGAGCTATCACTGGATATTGCTCTGTAATTGGAGGTGCTCCCTTTGACAGGACCTCTGCATAGGGATTTCTTCCTTCCATAGAGTTACAATAATACACAAGTAAGTGCACGTTTGCTGGAATCATGCCAAATGCACAGAATGGACGAGAGGAAAGGGAGTGCCCAGCGTCAGGGTGGATGAGGGCCAGCAGCATGATCCCATTCTGCCACTCCCCAGTCCCCCTGTTTTTGCCCCACAGACAACCAGAAGGACTGGACAACCTGCATTTCAAAGCATGCATTGCCTTGGGAATGAGTTCCATGGACATACTGTTCTAGGATCAATTTGTGAGTAAGACAGGGAATGTCGCTAGATAGCAGTGCGGCAGGGAGTGAGGATCAATTCAGCTGAAGAGAGCACTTTCATGCTCCCCCTGAATAGGGAGAGCCGTGTTTTGGGCAGGGAAAAGACAAATACCTTTGTTTATATCCACGGAATGCTTTATATATAAACAATCAGGCAGATATTTGGCTCCAGGTGGCCTCGAGTTAGGCCCTGTTGTAGGTATTCAGAGCCCACATGCCTTGCTAAATTCACAAAGAATAATCTCTGTGCAACCTGGTTCAAGTTTTTATTGCAGCTCCCATGTCTATTTGCCTTTCCTAACAGCATGAAATGTTATGTGTGTGTTTTCACTTGTACTCAGGTAAGTCTTTTTTTATTAATGGCTTGGTATATGCTTAGTCATTGTGTGGGATTACTGGGAAATATTCCTATGCATAATTGCTCATTTTTAAGATAATGCAAGCAGGAATTTGCTTCCATGGCACATTCATGAATGCACCAACAATATATCATTGCTAACTTTTAATTATAGCTTATGTGGCCATAGAAAGAGCAGCTTTTGTGGATATTCATCCTGAAATCTCTTGATAATCCACACAAACTTTCAGATGTCAAATAACCGACCACTCCCTTTACAGCAAAATAATATCCCCTTGTTAAGGAAACCAATCTTAAAAGAAACTATTTTCCTGTTCCTTTTGTAGCAGTCGAAATGTCTAAGCAAGAATGGGCTTTATCATAGGAAACGCTCCGCAGACAAGAAGCATTTGGGCTGCCTGCTGTCTTCCCAATACTGACAGGCATGCAGCCAAAATATTTGGCTATGTGGTCTCATTTTATAAATGGAGAATAAAGTTGCTGGAATGAAACTATTTCAGGGGTGGATATACCTCAATAATTTCCAAACACGTTTCCGAGGAGCATGACTGTAACCATTTGTAGCTCCATCATTATCTTGTCTAATAAACACTCTAATCAGACTTAGCAACAACTATTTCGGCATGAATAATATCTCCACAGAAGCTCAAAGGATAACGCTCCGGTGAGGGCAAAAGTGTAGCCTTCTCGCGTATCTTTGCCTATGCACAATCCCTGGCCTCTGTCAAATGAAAATGAAGAACGATATCGCTGCAGTATGAAACTACCCGAGTGAGAATCAAACGGAACCCTATAAAAGAACTCTGGGTGTGAACATGGAGTTCAGCTAGGCAGGGAGCCATGTGCTGGAGACTTGTGGAGGGTCCTTGCATGCGCATATTTGTCGCCGAGCATGACTCTCACAGCCCGTCAGAAAGCCACGCAGGCTGCCAGGAACCATTCATCAGAATTTCCTTGCAGGAAAGGCTATCAGCTTGAGCTGCAGGCCCAGAGCCAGGCTGTCAAGTTTTGGGCTTCCATCCAGGCTGTCATGGGCTGCGGCTGGTAGCCAAGCAGTAACTTTGATGTCTAAAGGGCCAGCCAACTGGTATGTGAGGGTGGCCTGTCAGCTTGGAAATAATATGCCACACTCAAAGGTCATGTGCCTTGAAACTAATCTGGCCGTTGTCTCACATAAAGAAGTAAGGTAGGCATTTTATATTGTTGCTAAGAAGAATCTTCAGATAATTCCAGTGTTTGTTTTGATTAAAGTTTGCATTCCACATGCTTTTTATTACGCAACTCAATTAGTGCATAAAAGATTTTCTGTTGAAAAATGTTTGAAAGGGCATAATTGTTCAATTTGGAGAGATTACAATGCTTTTATTTAATTAACACAGTAATAAATACTTCATTCCCTAATGAACCCCATATTTGGGGGCCATTAACCATTCCATAAATTTACAGCATGAAGGTTCTTTATGAAGATAAATAAAGCTATTTAAATGAATCTGCTATGGCAATGATGGGAGGCAGCAGATTTTTGTTTCCCTTCCACTGCAGTTGTACCTCCAGTTACAAATGTACAGGGGCTTAATACTCACCGTACATTTTAATTAATACTTTGGACACGAGCTGAGCTTCCTTCTGTGAATGCTGCACCACAGCAAGGCATTTTGCATGGTGGAATGATTGCGGGGAGCGCCAAGTGTGAGCCAGCCCACACCTGAAGCCATGATGTCACCAATGGGAAAGAAAGAACTCTGTACATGTGTAGATTACTTGAGATGAAGTGTCAGGTAACGCCTTCCAGAAGCTGATGCCCATATGCTCTCTATTTTACTCTCTTGTTCTCTCTCTTTTTCTATCACTCTATCTGACAAACACACATACACACATACATTTCTTGGTGGCCTGTGGTCACCAGTTCTTTTCACGTACCTGGATGCCCCACATCATTTCCACATTTTACATGGAATGTTTGGACAAAAGGAATCGTCTCCACACTAGGGATAGAGGAGAAATCCCATCTCATACCTTTCAATGACCCTCCTGTCCCTTGAAATCTGCTTGCTTCCAAGGTTTGCAATGGAGTTCCCCAGTCAAAAGATACCTACACAAATGAGCATATTAGAAGAAGGAACATGCAAAATTGCACATGTTTGTTGTATCAGATCTTTGGCTACTAGCAGTATCACAAGTAATAAAAATAACAATAAATGTTAGGAAATTGGCTTACCCAATGGATATGATTTATTATTCATTTATTATTATAAATTCTTTGTTATATTACTACTAGGCAGCATTATATTGAAAATGCAAGTATTGGGAGAAATGTGAGAGATTTTCATTTCAACCTTTAGAGGAATTTTTAAAGTTTAGAACTAAGCTTTAGACAGAAAAAACAAGAAACTGAAAGAAACTTAAAATCCACAGATTCATTCATTAGTCCATACCACAATTAACCTGAAGTGCATTTGTGTGCGTGCATCTGGGTGTTTTTGTGTACTTCCTTGGGGTGCACAGTTAATGAAATAAAATTATTTCAGACCCTGAGGCATGTTATTCTGAAAGTGCATGTCTCTGTTGCCTCGTAAGATTGAGATCCCTGTGATAGCGATCCGGTTGGCCCTGCAGAGTTTTTCAGAGTATCTGAACTGGCAGCTCCTGCTGGTTCCAAAGAGGAGGAAGAGGGGGCTGCAGCAGTGATGCCTGAGCTTGCCTTTGGATAGACGGCATCTTGCAAAGGGGGACAGACACAGTAGAGTGCACTGCATTGGGATCCTCTCTTTTTCAACATTCTTTCCTGCTCATTTTGACATGTAGCCTGGGAGTGCATTAGAGACACAGCTGACCCATGCAGAAATCCCGATTAGTGCTGAGAACCTGCAGGACAGAGACCCGATGGATTCAGGTTATGTCAAAATATTTTGTCTTTAATGGTCTTTGCTGCTATTGCTGCCATAGACAACCCACTGCAGCTGAATTCCACAGGCAGCAAAAGGGAGTGTTTCAGCTCTGCCCCCCTCCATCAGATTCATCTCTTAGTGATGTACAGATTTGGTTAAATCCAATCCTCCTGCATTTCACAGGTTGTCAGGTGTCTTTTGTTCTGCTATCCACTCATAGACAGAATTGGATGTTTTATTTTGCAGTCAGAATTTCATTCAACTTGTGTTCATCCACAGTAGAGGAGATATGTGCAATAACTCACATGAACTAATGACACTTGTGCATGCATACGTGTAATGGAAATTGGTGCTTATGCAAATTAAATCCCCCTTCCCCAAAGTGAAAAATCAGTCTTCAGAGTCTGTGTGACCTGAAAGAAAGCTGGTTTTTTGTGCAATATGCAGGCATGATTCGTATAGATCTGAACTCCTTTGAGTACATTGCAGATTTCTCTGACATCCTAACATTGCCCTTTACTCATGGAGCGTGACTATTTGAAAAGATGGCTCTCCATTCTGACTCATGTTGGGATCATCTATGGATCGAGATGCCCTGCTATTCAAGCAATCACCCCAGTGCATAGAGGGGGATGGATGAGCAGAAGGAGACAGGTAAGTTTCCAACTTGGGCCATCGCTCTGGAACTCCCCAGTTTGGCCATGGAAAGTATCCAAGGCTGTCAGAGCACAACAGGTGGGTGCCAGGTGAGAACCTTCAGCAGGTGGGATCATGTGCTTAGCTACCCCCCAGTGCCCCCCCCCCACGAATCCCCAACACAGACTTCAAGAGTCTGACTCTGTCACTTACATCACGGTTATGTGATGGAAATGTTTCAGAGACAGAAGTTGCCTTGTGCATGCTTTGTGTTGTTGTAGTGTCATGCGCAACGATGCCAACCAGGGTGGCAAAACTGTTCAAGCAACTCAAGAAACTTCAGCCAAAAGCCTCACAGAAGGCTTGTCTGCCAAAAAAATCCCAGCAGAACCACGCGCTAAATCTGATGAGGGCGACTCACGGGAGGGCAGAAGGAGGGCTGAGCTGAGTGGACAAGGAATGCTGACATTCCTAAGGGATGGAGAACAGGCACACCAGCTTTTCAGAGGGCAAAACATGCCCTTGTTTTGCAAGTTAAACTCTCCTTTTCCTGAATCACATCCACCAATATGAAAGCTCTTCTTAATTATTTTTTAAATGTGTGGCGATGGTATGTCAGTGTAAATTTGGAGATTTTTAAAAAGTTTTAAAATCTCTGAAGTGTTTAGGATGCAAACATTTCACTACATTCTAATCCCAATTGAATTCAATGAGTTTGACTTCTGGGTAGACATGTATAGGACTGTACTGTGAGCATGATCACTAGACCTGTCTGATCTGTTCTGATATAAACAAAGAACAATCCCACCCACAGCCCTCCACATTAATTTCAGTGGAAAAAGAAAATCTGTACAAGCCTAGCATTGCCATATAAATCTGCTTTCTCCACTGAAATTAATGGGACAGTTTTCCAAGGCCTCCATCAGAGCTCTTATAAATTCTGGGCTGAGACCCTAGAATTTATATTACATCATAAAATCAATTTGCATTGCTGTAAATTAAAGCGTCTGTAAAAAGAAGGGGCATTTCAACTCCCTTGCTCTTCGAACAAGGAAGGTATAACTTCTAGTTATTTAGAGATTTCAAATTTTCTACCAGTGGCGTTTTTGTCACTGCATAGCCACTAAGTTCAATTCAGCATTACCTATCTTAGTTGTACGATGTTCAAAGAACAAGAATGTGCTAAAAAGAAATCTGTATTACATTTTATTCTAAGTAAAGACAGCAATACCATGGCAGCCTGCAGGACTGCATAGTTCTTAGAGGACCATTCAACATTCCTATGTACACCTGAAAACAAGTAAACATTCAAAATGGAATTTCTCAGGAAGTCCAGCCACCTGTTTTTGTATATTTTAAGAGAAGGGGAGGCACAAACCAGACCCCCGTTGTTCAAAAGCAGATTGTGGAGTCTGTGGGCAATTTATTAAAGATGAGTAATTTTGCAGAAATGAGGCATAAATGCTTTAACACCAGTCTCTCTCGCTTTCTCTTTCAAGGGAGCTTTGGATAACAACATGTTCTGCTTTAAGCTCTTTTGGTTTACCTGAAGAAGAGGAGTGGTGCATTTTGAAAGATCCACTGTATAGTCTGGCTGATGAAAGCGTTAAAGGCTGGATTTTTCAAAAAATCCAGCAAGTTTCTTCCTGCTTGCACTCCTGCATTATTAGCACATTGCTCAGTTGTTGTAATTTCTCTGAGGCTCGTCTGAAAGTAAGATGGAGAATTTAGATATGATACTTATCGTTTGGAGGTTCTATTGAAACCTTTCCTTCTGGAATTAAATTTCCCATGAAACCACTCCATCCAGAAAAAAAAAAGTGAGCTGTCTGAAAGCTGAAACTTCAAGCAATTTGTTGCACAAACACAAGGCACACTTCTCTGGTGCTTAAAGTAATTGTCCTGTCATTTTGATATTTCATGTATAATTCAAAAGCTTCCTTCTTTTAAAACTTGACACTTGTCACATGGAGAGCAGTTGGCACACAGGATGATTTTCCAACATTTCTGATCAGAAAGCTGCATTCCCCACCTGCCCCACCCCCTTTCCATGAGAACTTTTCGCATCACTGCTGCTCCCACAAGCTTCCTTGGTTTCCTCTTGATATTTCAAGACGAGTTGGAGTGATGGAGTCGCAGCTGAATGAGAGCCCTTCCGGGACTGTGAATATCTGAAAGTGTCTCTCCATGGACCTGTGATCTGTGGCTGGAGTGAGGAAACATTCTTGCCCATTTGTGGCATGCATCGTCCCACGGCATGGAGGTAAGCATCGATTCGAACAGTCCGCAGCACCAAATTCACAGATCTCTCTGCTTTCGCTTCCTCCCCCTTTGAGGCTTTGCTTAGCCAGGAATCAGACGCACTCCTTCTGGGGAAGGTGTTTTTCCGTGGCAATAGTTCTCTCCGGGTGCCTTGCTGCAGGGTCAGGAGATAACACTGTGAGGCCACTGCCCTCCCAGATGTCTTCCTGCCTCCTCTTCCTCAACCTGCTCTAGGCAAAGGAGTCCCTCTTATGGCCCAATTGCATTTGACCACTCCCTGTGCCATCCGAAGCACTACGGATGGGTTGGAGCCCGTGGGTGCCATCAGATACGGGTGCCACACTCTACAGCAGGACTGGGGGGCCTCTGCTGTGCTGTAGGGGTGGCGGCAAGCAGCGCCCATGCAGCAGACCCCCTTAGGGGATTTCACTAAGTGTGCTTATCGCTGCGGGGAACATAATGGCTGTTCTCCTGGTTCTCCTACAACAGAGCAGTAGCTACATTTTTACTGATAAGCAGTGCTGGAGAATGTGAAAAGCTAGATGCATTTGGCTCTGATTCTATGCATGGCTTGCACATGTTTTGATCTTTTTCTCTGTGGGTGCCTCCTCTTGTAAGAGCAGAGAAAGCTGCATCATATATAGAGAAGAACAGCAAGAGCTCCAGAAGGTGCAACATCTGTGGATCCTGGTCCCACTTACTTACTTACTTACTTATTTCTACGTTACATTTTTGTACTGCCCACTAGCTGTACCTCTCTGGGCAGTTTATGAAAACAAGTAAAACCATAAAATTCAATAACATAAGAAAAGTGTAGCTTTGAATGAGAAAGAAACTAAACTGGAGAAACAAGATAAAAGCCAGCACCTGTGCAAACATCTAAAAATACACAATGTTATTTTAAAAAAGAAAGGCTGAAAAGCCTGGGAAAATTAAAAGGTCTATACCAGGTGCCAAAACAAAGGTATCGGGTTAGCTTCTCTGGGGAGGACATTCCAGAACCGGGGGCCACGACTGCAAAGGCTCTTCCTTGGCAGCCACCAGACTCCACGTCTGGCAGCTGCAACTGGAGAAGAGCCTCTGAAGGTCTGGAGAGAGAGCCAGTGTGGTGTAATGGTTAGAGTGAGGGACTAGGACTCAGGCAGTTTGGGCTCTAGTCCCCATTCAGCCATGGAGCCAACTGGGTGACTTTGGACCAATTGGACCAATCACAGACTCTCAGCCCAACCTACCTGACAGGGTTGTTGTTGTAAGGACAAGATTGAGATGGGGAAGGGAATTGTCTAAATTGCCTTGAGTTCCTTGACGGGTTAAAAGGTGGAATATAAATGAAATAAACTCTGTGTGTTTGTGTGTTCACAATCCTTCAAGTAGCCTGGTCCCAAGCCATTTAGGGAATGTCACTGTCAGCATTTTGATTTGGTCCAAAAAACAGATGGGCAGCCTCTGCAGATCTGAACTCACTGACATAACATGATCATATTGGCCAGTCCCTGTGAACAATCCCACTGCCCTGTTTTGGACCAGCTGAAATTGTCTGTCTCCCAAGGCTGCCCTGTGTGTTTTGCACTGTGTCATAAAAATGAGAGTTTGCCAGAGCAGGGAGAACGGTGCCTATCTCCGCCTCCAGAGGGTCATGGTTTATAAATCAGCCTAAACTCATAAACACAGGTCTGAGCATCTGAGCTCATCCATGTCTCTAGTGACAGCACTGGATCCAAGAGCATCCCAAAGTTGCAGGCCTGCTCTTTTAGGGGAATTGCAGCCCCCTTCAGAACAGACAATGACTAACACGCATCTGGGAAGACGTCTGGAGCACCTGCTCACAATACCGCCATCTTCTCTGGACTGAATCTCAGTTTGTTAGTTCTCACCCAGTGGATCGCCACACCCACATTACTGCTCAGGCCACCCCCGGCCTCACCTGGATTTCATGAACGCAGAGACAGAGCATCTCTGTGACATCATAGCCCTTGGAGACAGATCATGTTCCCGCCTCGCCACCAGCTGTTTCCTGTGGGTGTGTAACAGCCTGCAGGATGGATGCTGCCCTGTGGAACCTCACAGCGGAGCTGCCAGGGCACAGGGCGACAATCCCATCATTCCTCTCGTCCATCCAGGGAGGGGCAGCACAGAAGGTTGCCTTGGTTGCTGGCACTGCAAGCTGCCGAGAAGTCAGAAAGAATCAATGGACTCACACTCCTCCTGCCTGTCTCTCACTAAAGGTTGATCGGGGAATTTTGATCCCAAAACCAAGCCTGAAGCCTGGTGGGAGGGGAGCTAGATAGTCAGCTTCATTCAAGACTCTGGCCTTGGCCAAAAACAGCACAGCCAAGCCCAGGAAGCGAGTGTCGTCAAATGGGCAGTAGTCCAGATCCACATTAGGCTTTTCAGGCGTGGCCTAACTATTGCCTCCTTTAAAGTGAGTATCCCCTCCCTTCTCTCAAGGAGGAGTTGATATCTGTTAGACCCAGCAGGACATCCCCCACACCCCAGCACCACCACTGCCGCATGAGATGTAAGAAGCCCTGAAGGGGAAAGGGTGGACCTCCAGTGGTCCAAGGAATTTGGCCAAGTTGATCCAGGAATTCTTCTCTCATTTTTCTCACCCCTGAGGCTGGGACCTTGCTGCTTTTGAGAGACAGATACTGCGTGTGTGTTGCAGCTGAAGAAAACAGGATTTGAGAAGATGGCTTCCAGTTGCTACCATCGATATCGTAGGCAGTGGGAAAAGATCAAAGACATTGCAGAGTTCCATTAAGGGTACTAGGATGAGGCTGACAAAGTCTGGACGACAAAGATCCCTGAGCAAAGGATCGAACATACAGGTACATTCTGAATGCATGTTATGGAGCCTTGTAAAACCTTTCCCAGGAAAATACAGTTGTTCTAAGTTCCTTCTTGAATGACTGTTGATGTGCTTGTGTGACACCCATACAGATGGGAAGTTACTCCTTCTACTTATGCAGAAAGCTCCTCTCCCCTTCCATAAGAATATCTGTTCTGAATGATTGTCAGAACAATCTTATGCGTGTTTACTCAGAATTAAGCTTCAGTCATCTCAATACCACCTATCTCCACATAAATATGCATGGGATTGGAACACTGTGCTGGTAATCTTCAAGGGGAATACATTCTAATGAAGAAAGCAGATCCTAAAAGAAGAGAGAGACAGGGTGATAAATCTATGGGGAAAAATAATGTAGATCAGCAAAAAACTTTCCTTGAAGTTATATCAGTTCATCTTAATGTTCCCAACTTTCTCTCAGGCCCAGGGTTTATTATAATTATACTAATAATTATTATTAACCCAGTGAAGGCAGATAGGTCTTCTGAAAAACTATCATATCATATACCCTCTAGCCTACTAAACACCCAGAGGGGCAGCATGTCTCAGTGAGATGGAGAAAATAGTCACGAATGAGGCTCATGGAACTGGATAGGCTACAATACTGAGATATGTGGGGGCAGGATTCTTCCTCCTTTTCACGCTACTATAAATTCTTCTCCATGAATTAACAAGTGAAAGATGTTTTTCTGGGCATTGTTGTGTATATTAGAAAGTACATCAGTGCCCTTAAGGAGGAGAGGCAATGCCTCCATCTCTTCCCTGCTCATTAACTCCACTTACCATGGAGGACTTGAGCTGGTTGGTTTCCAGACAAGCATAGCCCAGGCCACTGCACAAGCCAACAGGGAGGGAACTTGCTGGGAAAGAGGCGTCTGCACTCTGCCCTGAAGGATGGCAAGACCAAGGCTCCTCCTCAACCCAGGTGGTAAGGAAATTCCGTAGCCAAAAGCTCTCCTTGGAATGAAGTTCATGTTAAATCATGTTGTGGTGTAAAAAAAACAGAATCAAGTTTCTACAGCATACACACACACACACACACACACACACACAAGTGTATTGAAATGGCACCTATTAAACATAGGATCTCGCTCATCTGATCTGAGATGGGCATGCAGGGATTTAGAAGACTAATTTGGGAGGGATTGCATACCAAGTGTGCAAATAAGGAAGAGAATCTCACACACACTTATTCCTGTATGAATAATTCTGCATGGGCTGAACTGCTTTGGTACAAGTGGAAGAGAGGGCCAGTTCCATCAGGAGGGAGAGTGGTCAGCTCAGGCGACAGGTGCTGGGAGCTGGTGGCAAGCGATGGAGACCCCTGCGCTGTGCCGCACCTTCCAAGTTCGGCTGCTGCCTTCGGAGGAGCCGCAGGCTGCTGTCATTCCTCTCAGAGTCACCTGCCAGTCCTGTCAGCAAATGAATGGCTGGGCAGGGAATGGGGATGGGAAGAGGGCACCATTTCGCCCTCCTTCAGGCAGCAAAATGTCTGGGCTGACCCTGGTGAGGGAATCCACACAGAGGGAAGGGAAAATGTCGGGAGGATCCTGTGAGGAAGGCAAAGAGACGAAAATTCTTGTTTTCACCTACTTCCAGGCCCTGCGTTCCCCATAATGGTTGGTAAATTCCTAATCGGGATCACACGTCAAGCAGAGGTAGCCATTTAGTCCATAACAAGAAGTCCAAAGCCATAATATGGAAAAGACTTTATTAGGCTACAAAATAGTTGCAACAGAATTCTCCCACAAAATGGCAAATTTCACAGAAAATAATAATTACGTGCACATCTGGCACAAAGCTGTTCCTCACAATACAAATAACATTTTGATTTTAATGCCACTGGGCAAGCCCATATGACAAAATCTCCGACTCTCTGTTCAGATATGGTTAGTTAAATCAAATCTACAGGACTCTGGACTCAATCCTCTACCCCAGGAAATATTTTTAAGACTCAAGGTGCAGTTATATTCCTTTCTGACAGCAGCATTATTGGATGATGATTTCAACAGCAAACTGAGCGTTGCTTTTCTTGGATCATTGCAGGGTTTATCCATTATATCTATGCTCACTCCTCTTCCCTGTTCCTACATAGCATCACATTTTCCCAACGGCCACATCTTTCTCCACACAGCTGCTCCCTTCAGTCCTTCCATAGCTGACAATACAATGGTAAAGTCCTGCACCTTTAAGTCCTTGACCAGAATTTCTAAGATTTTACAACATGGGGATTCTGAGAAAGAGGTAGAATAGCCTTCGCAATCTGCAGCCTTTCAGATGTGTCAGACTATAACTCCCATCATTCCCAACCAGCATGGCAGCTGATTGGGGGTGTTGTGCCTACAGGCATATAGTTACAGGAGGGAGGTTGAAATCTAGTAGGATGGCACATAATCACAGCACACTTCTTATTCTGTGTGTAATTTCATATGTGGCATTATTCCTCCCTTGAAACAACCCCTGTGCAGAAACAAGACATTAAAATATCATGTGCAAAGAGATCGTGTGAGTCTCTGTTTTGCCCTCATACACGCTTGGAAACTGTAGCATGGAGGTTCTCTCTGTGTGCAGAGAAAATACATATAGTCAGCCATAGAAAGGAAGGCGGAAGAAAAGTTGGAAGGCAAAAGCCGTCTCAAGTTAAAGAATCCTAACCCCCTCTAAACAAACAGTTGAACCCATCCATTTTTAATTGTTGAAGTGCATTATACGCTCTGCATCTCTTTCCTAAAGAATCCCAGATAATTGACTGGCTTCAGACTTCAGCGTGTGAGGCAGCTGCAAAGACTTGCCCTTTACATGGAAGAGAATCCAGATTAAATGATAAGCGCTGGAATGTTTCATAAAGAAAAAAAACTGCTCAGTGGCAGCAGGTGTGCATAAATACTGAAGAAAGGCTGGGATTCAGCCGTCATCTGAACACTGCTTAACACGCCATGCAGTTATCTCTTCCCCACATTTCACTGCCATTTGTTTCCATCCCTATCAACCTGCAGTTACCTTGCACAAGAAAAATGTTGGATTATGACAGCAGGAGTACAGAAAGAATCCTCGGTAAATAATCTCACATCTCTGTGCTTCTGGCAATGCCTTTCTTCTCGAGAGCCTCAGTTTTCCTTCAAAACAAAGTCCCCATTTAAACATCATACGATGCAGTGATGGACCAAGGAAGGATAATATGATTCATGGGGGGAGCCACATGTTACCAGCTTGCATGTGCATATTACAAGAGGCGAGACAGCCTTTCCTTTTAGCACTAAAAGATGTATTTATTTTCATGGATTCTGCGTGACCACGATATTCATGAGCAGTTGAATGAAATGAGGCCAAAAGTGAGTTGAGATTGGTAATCATACCAAATTAATAAAAATAAGCAGCCTTCTCTTGTAGCTACCCACCTAAGATGACATCTGTCACATGGAACTCTGTATATGTGATCTGCAAAGCAGGAAAAAGGCAGATTCCCCATCATCTTCAGGGGATCCAAATTAGGCTCTTGGAGAAAGGTGCTGAAACGCAGGAATCTCGGTGTCCAGCTCAATTGCTCTGTTAGGAAAGATATGAAACTCTCTGCAGCACGTGAGAATAACATGTTGGGATGCCACAAGTATGTGAGTAACATTTTTATGAAGCCCTCAGACCTTGTAGGAAAATAAACGCTTTTGTTACTTGGTCTTGACTCACCACCACATGTTCCAAATAAGAGTGTGCAGTGCGAGAGGCTGCATATTTGAGTTGATTGATGCTGTCACGTTGTCAAGGAGGATAAGCGAGTTAAGTGATCCAGGATGTTGAAAACATTGCCCTCATCTTCTTTTAAGGCTGCTTTAGCCAGTGATGCCATGTGCCCACGAGGTGTATGCTGCGGCTTGTGCCAAAACTGTGCAAATCGGCATGTTGCCTTAGCAAAATTGGTGTGCCTCCAGCTCATGGCCCTTTGCTCATGGGCATTTAGTAATGCTCAACATGCACTTTCCTCTGCGCTGTTTTAAAAACATACGGCGGGCAGCCTGAAAATGTACACAATGCTATTATGCGTCTGGACTGAAATGGGGGGTTGCTCATGTGCCAGTTGTTCAGTTATTTTGGTAGCCCATGGGAGCACCCATGTCTATAAACAATGAATGCCTATATACAAGCAAACAAAAACCCATTAAATAAAAATGTATTTCAATCAATCAATCACATAAAAGCTATCATTAAAACCATTGATTTTAGGCTTGCCCATATGATTCACCAAGCTGAAAGCAGTCCACCTGGTACTACTTATTATGGGACACCATGTGTTTACCAGTGCTCCTTTGTGGGGGGGGGGGGGCACAAGCCGCAAAAACCAGGATGCTCATCAAGCCCCTCCTGGCCGTGTTTTTCCTTGCCTGGGGACAGGCCTGTAACCCAGCAGCAGAGGATGGGGCTGACTTGCAGAAAGTCCACATTCAGTCCCTGGGGCCTCTAGGGAATGGCTGCTGGGGAAGACTCCATTCCCGGAGGGCTGCTGCCAGTCGGTGTAGACAGTGTAAAGCTAGAACTCAGGGTCCAACTCAGTGTAAGGCAGTTTCCTTTGTACAGTGGGTCCTGCCACTTGCTTCATCCACAGAATGTATATGTGAATTTTAGTTGAGTTTCCCCCTCAATGGCTTGCTTCCTCTCTTCCTCTCTTCATTTCAAATGTCAATAGTTTCAGTTTCTTTGTGCATGCGATATCCCAAATTCCAATTACCATGTTCATCAAGGAATGGAACAGCAGGACATCATGCGCCCATCTCTTGTTTGCATTCAATATGCAAAGATGGGGAATACTGGATCACAAATCTTTGTTCATACCACTATATCAGGCCATCATACCAAACAATGAATAGAAATGAGGAACGGGGGACAGGATCCGGCACCTGTTTTCCACTGGTAGAAGGCTTCTAAGTAGTGGCCACACTGACCCAAAAGCTGATCTGGAAGTTTTGACAATCTTCTGGAGCAGGCAAGCCAAATGGGGCTGCAAGGCAGAGGAGGAAACCAAGAATTTGGCTCCTCCCCAGTTCCCTGAGGGCACCCATTG